ATTATATATATATCAATATATATATTAATATGATATTTATATAAGTATAATCAATATATATCAGCAGTATACTTACCCGCTGTGCGGCACGAGCACATATATGAATGAGCGCTACATAACACATGTATTATTGTTTCTTCCATGTTTGTTCGTTCTGCTTTAACAATTCGACGCAATAGGCAGGCGAAATGTCATACATTCTTTAGGCGATAGGCATTTCACTGTCGCATGCTCTCCACGTGGCGTCTATTCCAGCGCCGTATTTCGGCGGACACACATAGCGAAATATTTTCCTATTTATAGCCATGTGCGGCCGTCAGCCTCATAAAGTCACGCGCAGCATAATCTTCCAATCTCCACGAATTGCCTCCCTATTGTCCATCCGTCAGCATCACTTAGCGTTTAAACCCCCTTTTAAATTAGTTTCGGCTACTGGTCGCAGGCAGCCATTAATTGCTGTACGTGCACCTTCGCGCAACAGCGCGCGCTTCTGCCGGATACTCTACTATACTCTTGCGTTTGCGAACAACGCTTGCGTACCTGCAAGCGATCGCCAGCGCGTGTTTTGCCATCGATGGACATAGCCTATCTGACGCCTTTGCTGCTGGCTTCGCTTAAAGCGAAGCGCGAGCGTCGCAGTCTTATTACTTGATTGGCTCTTTCTCCTTCGTCTCTGTACGTAGTTTTCCGCGTTCATACTCAATATCCCAACGAATCTCACTGCGGCGCCATTCATTTTCTGCTGCTGAGAACACCTGTCTTTGCGTTTAAATCATGGCCGACTCCCATACGCTACACTCGCCGCGTTTGGCAAGCCGTCGGTGGTGGCTGATGGCGAGCGGATCCACGAGCCGACGGCAGCGTGAGACGAACACCAGGCTCTGTCGCCGTCGACAAGCTTCACGATCGATGAGATCCTGCGCTCGCGACAGTTCGTGGTCAGCTCAGCGACGAGTCACGACGCACAGCGCGCAATGTCTCAATCGATTATGGTATGGAATCCTCGGCAGTAGTATTCTCGCTGGCTGCAGCTGTACAAGGATACAGACCCGCGAAGCTTACGCGTAAGTAGTAAACACATACGGAATTTACTAGTTGACGATTCGTGCGCTATCTTACTTACACGGGACCGCCGCCGCCCGCACGGACTGCGACGACCGACCGACCGACGACCGCCCGACGGACTGCGCGACGACCGACCGACCGACGACGACGGACGGACCGCCGACCGCCGACGACGACCGGCCCGCGGACTCTGTCCCGACCGGAACGACGACTCGCCCGAACGGTGACGGACGCGCCCGACCCGGCCGACGAACCGACGCCGATCCGACTCGAACGCCCGACGACCGCCGCCCGCGGACGCGACTGCCCGAGCCTGCCCAGACGACCGACCGACGACCGACGAGCGAGCGACGACCGACGACCGCGACGACCGACCGACGAACCGATTCGATCGAACGCGACGATCCGAGCCCGATCCTGACCGACCGGACCGACGACCTACCACCCAACGACGGACGACCTGACCGGGACCTACCACCCAACGACGACATCCGAACCGACCGAGCCGACATCAATTAATCTCGACCGACGACTGCCGCCGGACGACCGACCTACCACTCAAGCGACACGATCGTATCGACCGACCGACGGACGACCCGACCGATCCGACGATCGACCAATCCTGACGACCGGTATCCCGGTCCGAGCGACCGACCGACCGACTCGTCGACCGACCCGGACGTCATCCCGACCGTCAATCGACCGATCAGACGCCCGACGACGACAGACAGTTAATGCGACAGACAGAAATAGATGTCTGAGGCAGTTAAAAACAACCACGAGCAGATTAAGTGTGATGATCATAGACAAGAGACACAAGAAGCCCTCCTGACGCTCGCCCTTTGATGTCCGGAGACACTTGTGAGTTCTAGCAGCGGGTCATCGCGGACAGCGTCGAAACTCATAAACGTTTCAATGTTAATATATGGCAAAATGGCCAGAAGTACTGCCAGTCGCACTCACCGGTAATTTCCCTGCCATTTTGTGTTTGCTATTTTGCTGCTTGTTGTTTACTGATTGTTTGTCTGCTCCTTGCTGTCGCCTATGCGCGTTAAACTAACCACATGGTAACGCCTAGGTCTCTAACTATACATTATCTATATATATTATATATATTATTATTATATATATATATATATAAATAAATATATTATGTTATATTATGTGATATTATTAAGTGATATATTATGTTATGTTATGTGATAATATTATGTGATATATTATGTTATATTATGTGATAATATTATGTGAACGCGTCAACGCGCGTGTGAATCGGTGATTCGCGGGTTGTGTCAACTCTACTGGTGACGACAATTAACGAGCACGGAAAATAATTGTCGCACTACTAAAGGAGACTGACGATCTAATGTTGATGCTGACAAACGTTTACATTGAACCGTAACGTTAAGAGCGTATTAAGTATGTTACGCTATAAATACTTAATACTTAATACTTAATACTTAATACTTAATACTTAATACTTAATACTTAATACTTAATACTTAATACTTAATACTTAATACTTAACACTTAATACTTAACACGTATGTAGTGTATAGGCAGAACACTAGTAACAGGAAAAACACTGTTTCCTACACTGATATAGTAATACGCTGATATATAGGCAGGCGATAGAGACACAATTCTCTATCAATGCCGACAGTAAATTCGACTCTGGCGCATGGTGACTGTCGGTTTCGGTGTCGGTTTCGGTGACTGTCGGTTTTGGTGTCGGTTTCGGTGACTATTGGTTTCGGTGACTCGTTTTTGCACGCGTGAAACATTACACGGGCTCTTTACCGAGGACATGCGTTCGCAAATAAAAGGCGGCGGACCACCCGAGTGACAACAGTGCACGTGACAGTACCGGATTAAACAATATAATAACAGTGAGCGTCAACGCACGTCACGATAACGTCACATCCGGTAGCGAACTATATAGCCCTTCAACACCACAATAATGAACACGACAGTGTGTGTATAATAGAAACGCACAGTAAAAGATATTACACGTAAATGGCCATAAAATGAATGTAAACTATGTCGCATTTCGAGGCTTATAGTACGCTCGGATGCATGAGATGCCTCTTTCCGAGATTAGGACTACACAAGGTTATATCACTGTTTATCCTGAGACCAGATCGTTTTCATATAGCATGTGTTAGATGCATTCTGTATGGTATGCAATAACTGTGAAAGATTGAAAATATTAAACTTCACGTGACTCCAACTGACCCAATCAAAATGCAATATTATGGGATCGAGTTGTCAACAGGAACGTATTAGCCAATCAGATACCTCGGTGACGACGTGCGTTGAAGGCCGTAGCCTCATAAAGAATATTCTTCGGAATCTAATGACGGTAACGATGAAATAGAGAACCTAACGTTGATCACAAGATCTGGTAAACGCTACGGATTACAGTAGATCCAAAATTAACATAGTATTTCGATATTAAAATGTGAAAAAGGTCTGGCTTCGGTCGTAGCTCGTGTGAGACCACTTATGCAATGAGCTAATAACACATGTATTATTAGTTCTTCATGTTTGTTCATTCTGTTCTTAACAATTCGACGCAATAGCAGGCGAAATGTCATACATTCTTGGCGATAGGCATCACTGCGCATGCTCTCCACGTGGGTCTATTCAGGCCCAGCTATTGGCGGACACCAAGCGAAATATTTTCCTATTTATAGCCATTGTGCGGCCGTCAGGCCTCATAAAGATCACGCGCAGATAATCTTGCAAATCTCCACGAATTGCCTCCATTGTCATCCGTCAGACCATCACTTAGCGTTTAACCCCCTTTTAAATAGTTTCGGCTACGGTCGCAGGCAGCCATTAATCTGTAGTGCACCATCGCGCAACAGGCGCGCGCTTCGCCGATACTCTACTATACTCTGCGCGTTTTGCCGACAACCGCGCGTACCTGCAGCCGATTCGCCAGCGCGTGTTTTGCCACGCATGGACATAGCCATCGACGCCTTGTGCGGCTTCGCTTACACGAAGCGCGAGCGTCGCAGCTATACTGATATGGCTCTTCTCTCCTCGTCGCTGTACGGTTTCGCGGCATCTCATATCCCCAACGAACTCACTGCGGGCGCATTTCTGCGCGAGAACACCGTCTTTGCGTTTAACATGGCCGATCCCATACGCTACCAACTCGCGCCGTTTGGCAAGCCCGTCGGTGTGGCGATGGCGAGCGGATCACGAGCCGACGCAGCCGTGAAGACGAACACCAGCTCGTCGCCGTCGACAAGCTTCACGATCGAGAGCATCCTGGCTCGCGACAGTCGGGTCAGCTCAGCCGACGAGTCACCGACGCACAGCGGCAAGTCTCAATCGATATCGGATGATCCTCGACAGAGATTCTCGTGGCTGCAGTGTACAAGATACAGACCGCCGAAGCTACCGCGTAAGTAGTAAACACATACGGACATTATAGTTGACGATTCGTGGTTCTTACTTACCACGGACCGCCCGCCCGCCCGACGGACTGCCCGACCGACCGACGAGCGGCCGACCCGCCCGACGACTGCCCGACCGACCGGGGCCGACCGACCGACCGCGGACGGACCGCCGACCCGCCGGGACCGACGACCGCCCGACGGAGCACGACGAGCCGACCGCCGTACGGACGGGACCGCCCGACGCCCGACCGGGACGACGCCCGGACGAACCGACCGCCGCCGCCCGACGGACTGCCCGACCCACCGACCGATCGACCGCCCCGCCCGCCCGACGGACTGCCGACGCCCGACCGAGCCGACCGACCGACCGACCGATCGCGAGCGAGCGACGACCGACCGACCGACGACGACGACCGACCCCCGACGACGACGACCGACCCGCCCCGATCCGACCCGGACCGACCGACCGACCGAACAAGCGACCGACCTACACCCAACCCGCACCGACGAGCGACGAGCCCTACCACCCACCGATCCCCCCCCCGCGCACAACCGAGCGATACCTTGACGATCAACTTAACCGGAACCGCCAGACTTGCTCCGACCGACGACCGAACCTACCACTCACCGACCCGACCGAACAACGGACCCGACCGACGACGACCGCACCGACCGACGAACGTAGCGACCAACCTTGCGGACTCGACCTTGAGCCGTCCGACGCACCGCGGAGCCGACCCCGGGCGCGTCCGACCGATTCCGACCGACGACCGTCCAACGACCGCACAGACGCCGCGCCGACCGAGCGACAGACACATGGACAGACTAGACAAATCGATTAGGTGAGGCAGAAAAACAAACACCACAGACACGACGATAAGTGAGCATCCATAACAAAGACACAAGAGCCCTTCCCCCTGACGCCGC